TCATGTTTCTGAAGGTCCAAAGCTTTGTGGTACAAAGCAAAAGCTTCTGCTTCCTGTGGTTTAAAAAAACAGAACCTATTTTGTAGGGCAACTTTATTAAATATCATTAAGAAAATTGTGAGTTTACTTACTTGGGCTTCTTTTGTCTGTGTCTTATGACTCTTAAAGGTACCTTCGTAGTCATCCTCAATTGTGGAGCTCGCATTCAATGCTGCAATTCGGATCTAGAATGACAGTTGAGATGCAACAAGAAATGTTACAGCTACAAGTGTGCCCTTGCAAAGTCAAGTTTTCTCTATTTTTACTTTACTTGGTAAATGGACAATACTGAGAGAGCTCTACATAAAGGTACAAGAACTGTAATGTCATCACGAATAGCAGAAATGGAAACTTCAAAATTATTTCTCCCATTAAATCAGCTGAAAAAAGCCCTCAAAATTTCAAGTAACAGTTTCCCCAGAACAGACAATTACAGCAAACTGTTTTCAAATTGTTTAATTTACCAATAACCAAAATCACTCCAAACCCAATGTTCTTAATACACCAATTTAGTCTTAGTCCTGGGGAAATAGAAAAATTTCAAAAACCATCTCAATAAGCCCTTACCATGTTCTCAGCTGTTCTCACTGTCTTTTCTCCAGGATTAGGACAAAAGGCCTAACACAAACAGGTCTGGAAAGCAAACAGGATGAGAATATGTATTTTGTCCATAAAGGAAGCATTCTGAAAAAAAAGACAGGCTGGGAATACTTTAATCAACAACCAATTAACTGCCCTATGTCACCACCACCCCCCCATGCCAAGGAATAAATTGTCCTATAATGTAGGAACAATAATATTAAAGTGAATTTTAATAGAGGCAGAGAGTAAAATACGAATCTAAGCACATGCATTACTTCAGGATGATTTTCAAGACCCTAGTCCTGGTGCTGAGGTGGGAGTGGAAGTATTTCCAATGTAATCACACCTATAAGATTATTCAGTTACTGTAAAATACTTAATAAGCACACATGATATTAACAACATTACAACATGAATCCTTTTAATGACAAACGTAAAACCAAAAAAGCTTCCGACATTTTCTGAGCATGAACCATTATCGCTTATGAGTTTATCTTAAGTTAGATTTAAAAAATAAAATTAGAATCCTTCCTGTACCTTTTACCTATAGCACAAACCAGAGTGCACTCTCATGCCTGGAAACCACAGCATTTATGGATATTTACAAAACAGGAGGGAAAAAATAGAAGGTTATCTGTGTCAGACTGACTTTGCAACAGTGGCTGGCCAACCCACTGCTCAAAACACTGCCTGTGCCTGGAAACTCCTCTGATAAAAATGTTTCTATCACTGCTATCCCTGCTAGAACAGAACCACTGTTCATAACACACTTGTCTCTTCTGAGTATGTTGACCACCTAAGGCAAAGGCAAGTTCTTAGACCTCTTAGATTTACGCAACCAAAAGAAACTGAACTTTTTACTAACTAGTATTTCTTCATTCTGAAGGACAGTATTTCCAGGCTTTTTACCACTGACAGAAAGTTTAAAGGTTAAATTACACATTTATAATCTATAATTTTTCCTCATAACTAAACCCATAACTTATGATCTATTACCTCCCTGAAACTTTATGTCAGTAAAGGCAAAAAATATGAGAGTTCTGTGCTGCTTTTTAAGAAAAGCTTCACTGTTACACCATAAAACTTTCCCATCACTCAAACAAAAAATATGACATGCATGAGACAGGCTAAAAACAGTCTTTAATATTGGAGGCCGCATTAATAGAAGAGTAAGTCCAGAATTAACCACAGCAGGAAGCAGTGGGAGTTTTGAACTGTAAGCTGAATTAGCTCATACATCATCAAGATTAGTTCTGCATGTAGAGAAAATAATGCTTTGACAGGGTCTCATTCATTCAGCAATGGTATTTTGCTTGCCCATGCACCACTTACTTTCCTAACTTGCAGCTAAATAGACTAACAACTGCACAGCAATAAAACATTTTTCTCCTTAAGTGAGTAAATAAACATTAATAAAACCTCAAATCCCTTTCAAGAGAAGGATTCCTGGTCTGCTTTGCTTATGGAGAAAATATATGTACAGAGATTAATGGCTATGTCTTTCAGAAATACTGAGCACCCCAGGTGTTGACAGGAAGTGCAGATGTTTATCGCATCTAAATAAATGAGACTGTATGATCCCAAATCAACTACATATTTAACCTGAGTGGGTTTAAGTTCACTTATAGATACACCTATATTCAGAAATTGCTCAAGTCTTTTGCTGAATCCACATAATCTTGCTCAAGGCAGCAGAGGAACTCAACAGGGGACTACAGTCAAGAGTTTGCTTCTGTGGTTAGACTGCCAGTGCAACTGTAGCTACAGAAAAGGTGGGGAAACGGTTTTAATTCCACTTTATATTTCTACAGCGAGTTTGTAACAAGTATTTAGCACCTTTCCTCTCTGGAGTTCACAAGTTGAGAGCACATAACCAAAGAGAAGTGTCATGCTTTTGAGAAACAGGGCAAGGACATTGCCTCCACACAGCTGCTGTACCTGTGTGTCAGGCAGGTGGGGAGTTGTTTCATCTCTTTTTTTACACTGTCCATGGCTGCAAACATAACTGTGGCCTGAGTTACCACAGTACCATAACATCTAGGAATAAAGCATGTCCCTACAAGCACTTCCAGAGGAAAGCAGCTACATCAATTAAGTAGGAAAAAAAATAGTCTTTAATATGGAAGTATTATAAACTGGGTTGAACATTTTTCAGCTACAGGAGGGTCTCAGCTTATCCATCTGTGGCTATGACAGGTGGGCACATCGTCAAAAGGCAACAAGACCTCTTTAAAGCCTTTTGCATTCAAAACCTTGTCTCCTTTTACCTCAGTAGTTTAAAACCTCATTAAAAATTTCGACTGTCAGCTCTTGTTTCCAGAGCTTGTGCGATTCCCAACTTCAAGATATGAAACAAAGGGAGCGACTTGGGCTTTCCTAGCTTTTGTTGTTGTTGCCACACTTGGGATCCATACACTGCAAATACACATTTGTTTAAAAGTAAAACCACTCGATTTTTGTTTCGGGTTTTGTTTTTAACGTGGCAAAGATCCCCTCCGCCGCATTTGAGCAAAAGCCGCTTTTACCGAAATACGGTCATTTTCCGCAAACAGGAGCGGGGACGCCTCTCACTCCGCTTGCCGGGCTCCACGTCCCAGAGGGCGGCACAAAAGGCCAGGAGGAGGCGAGGGAGGGAGCGAACCCACGTTCGCCCCTCACCGTGGCTCCGTGGAGGCGAGGCCCGAGCCCGCCGCGCCGGGCTCTCGCAGCAGGGGAAGGGCCAAAAGCGCCGGCAGCCCCTGAAGCCCCTCCACGGTGCTGCGGCGGACGGGACACTCACCTCGCAGGGCCGCCGCGGGATGGCGGCGCAGGGCGGGGAGCGGCCGCCGCGGGACTCCCGGCGCGGTTCCCTCAGGCGAGCGGCGGCTCCCCGGAGACACGGCCCCACCGGCGGTCTCCACGGCAACCCCCGCCGGAGCCCCGGAGACCCGCGCGCCAACAAGAAGGCTGCTCATTGGCAGAGCAGCTGCTCCTTGGCAGCCAATGGGAACGTGGGGAACAGGAAGGCGGGGAGGGGCGGGTCGCGGTTGGAGCTGGAGCTGACAGCGGCTGGGGGCGCTGTTTGTGGCAGCGTGGCGCAAAGGGCGGAATGGTGTCTGCAATGGGCTTGGAACACATCCTAAAACTACTGTTTTATCCCTAACGCTTGATGTGACTTGGGATGCAAAAGTGCTTTTTTGCCCCAGGGAGGTGTAGGAGTGTTTGTGTGGTGGCGGCAGGACAGTGCGAGCCGTGACTCAAGCCAGACGGTAACTGCAAAACAGCTCCTTGTACAAATAATTGTATTTAAATGTGAGGTGATGACATTGCAGTGAGCCTGAAGGACAAGGTGTGACAGCCGCAGCCCTATCCGAGCCCTGGTGCAGGCGCAATGTCAGGGCAAGCCCTGAGCAGACACAGCACACCCAGGCCTGGCTCCATCTGCGGGGTATCAGCCACAGCTTAGCCCCTCGTTACCATGAGTCACATCACACTGATGAAGTTCAGCTTGTGCTCAAGTATTTCACTGACCCAGCATTTACTGCTGTAAGGATGAACTCCAGGGTCTGTTTGTGGGTGAAAACAATGCCCCCATCTTTCCATTGTGGCAAAATACAGGTGGTGGTGTACCCGCGAAATAAATAACCTCTGAAGCCATCATGATTCTGTAATATGTCTGTCAGTGGTGCCCTTCAGCGTGCTCATGTACATACATAGAAAGACCTTCTGCCGTTCAAAGGTTGGAAGCTAGAAAATGGTTAAACCACATTCAAAAGTAGCTCTTTACCTTTGAATTTGCAAATATGCCCACACAGAGTCCTCAAACAACAGAGGTCATCTCTGGAAGCAGAAATCCTGGTTAACCTTAGGAGGTTAAGCCTGGGAAGTTAGAATCTGTACAGCAGTAAAAAGATCTACCATAGCTGGGGGATGTTAAGTCCAGATGATAAGCAGACCCCATCCGGTGCTGGAAGCCAATAAACTGACACTTATCAAAAGAGGCTTTCATATGTTTTATTAACTAGATCAGGTTTAATGTCACCCCCCAGCCTGGGACACAAACTGGTGTTTGGTGTTATATTCCTCACTTTTGCAAACACAGGTGTTTACGCTGCACAGGGAACAACTAACTGCAAATGGTAATTAGAAAGAATACTTTCAACTAGCTCAAGTCCTCAAGTCTCAAATAAAACCGCAATCAGAATGGCAGAGCAGCACAGGAGCATCCTCCAGCCTTGTGTTCCCATGGGCACTTTCATGTTCCAAGGGCGTGCTCTCAGTTCCTCTGAGCTCCCCATCTGCGACCTGACCAAGTCACAAAGTGGCTGATAGGGGGCTGAAAACACTGAGAAGTGTTCTTGTTATCAGTGGAAGACGGAGATAACATTATACATAAAAAATACTGCGCTTTTGTTTTACTAAAATGCCTCGTGTATTCCAGTCATAAAGTGAGGGAGTATACAGGTCCTAAAAACCTGAAACTCTTCCCCACAGGGACAGTGAGCTGAAAACACCAGCCATGGAAGACAGTGAGATGCTGTATCATCCCAAAACTCCGCACCAGGAAAGCCTTTGGGATACGAGACAGGATTGAGACAAAGACCTTGAATTATTTTAGTAACATTAATAAAGTTGATCGTCCCACTCTTCAGCTTTGTGTGCACAGGATGCAAAGACAAAAGTGAATCACACAGGTGAAGTGCAGAGCTACACAGATTTGATCATAAGAGGAAACAATTAGATAGATGGAGCTGGTAATCTCTAGGTTATCTTCATCATTGCTTTGTTCCATCGGCTGCTCAAGGGATCACAGGAATGTCATGACTGTTCTGTTCTTGCCAATCTGCCAGGGCTCCAGTGGGTAAAAGCGGATGATAATCCTTTTTGGGTACAAAAGTAAAAACGCAGTGGACAAGAAACATTATTTTACAGTTAGGTATTATCCCTGCCCAGTTTGTAACAAGGTAGGAAATCTGCACAATGTTCTCACTGTCTCACACTTCACGGTGTTAATTTAACAGAAGCAAAAACAAGCCCTGTGCAGGCAGGGTACAAATTGATGCCAGACCTCATCCACACAAACCAAAAAACAGATTGAATTTCAACACTGTTTATACAAGATACTTGTTCAATTCAAAAGGACCCATGCAGCTCTTAATCTCTGTCAGGTATTTACCCTGACAAGAAGCAGGGAAATGCTACTGCTCACCTTGGGGAGACAGGGAAGAGGGGCAGAGAGGGACATGGCTTACCTTCAGGACAGCCATTTGGCACGGGGACCTGTTCCCATGGGGTTCTGCACCAGTTACAACAACTGGAACTACTCATCTTCAGCGAACAGTAACTCCCAGGCTGTGCAACGACTGCAAACCGGTCCATATTTTATCTGGACCCAAACCATGTCTGGGATTTGGCATTCATGAGTTTCTGTTTGCTAGTCTAGTCTAGGCTCTGTGTTATGATTTAACCTCCCAGAGGTCATGGGAACCTACCTCCTCATTACTTTGAGCACCTTCCCGTATGGTTTGCTGTGTTTCACACATTCATAACGGATAGAGCAGAGGCGCTCGCTATGCCCCCGGGGCCACGCACGGTGCCTCTCACCCCGGGGCGACGGAACCCCCGTCCCCGCAGCACCCCACTCACCGCTCGGGGCCGAGGCCCAGCTGCGCCGTCAGGACATCGAAGAAGCGGGCGCTGTGCCGCTGGTTCTGCTCCGCCGAGCCCACCACGCCGATGGAGGAGACGAACAGCTGCGCGCAGGGCTCGGCCGAGCCCGCCACCACCATGGGCAGCCCGCTCCGCACCGTCACGTTCACCCGCTGCGGACACAGCCACCGTCAGGGCCCGGCTTCCCCCCCCGCCGCCTCCGCCGCCGCTGCCCCGGCCCCTCGCTCACCTCCGCCGGCTTGCCCAAGATGTCAGCGGCGGCCGCGCACAGGTCCTGGGCCAGCGCCGGGGGCAGCCGCCTGGGCGGCAGGTTGGTGTCGAGCTCCAGGAACGGCATGGCCCCGCGCTACGGCACAGCCGGCCCGCACCGCCACCGCCACCGCCCGGCACGGCCCGGCCCCCGCTCCGCCCCCAGCGCGGCCCGAGCCCCGGAACCGGGCACTCTCGCGGGTCCCGGGGCTGCTGCAGGAAGGGGGGGGCACCCTGCGCTTCCACCGCCACAGGCTCCGCGTGTTCCCTGCGTTACCCCAGCTGGGTCTGGGGCCTTCCGCTTTGGACACCGTGCTTTGCTGGGGTGTGAGTTCGAGACTGGGGGAGGCAGGAACTCCCGTGTCACTGATGGATGGGTTGAACGAGTTCTGTGACAGGCCTTAATGCCGGTGGGAAGACATTTCTGGTCACCGGGGATGGACACCTCCGCAAGGGGAGGGTTAAGAATGGCAGAGCAGTGATGTCTCAGAACAAGCTGCACTGCAAGAAAGTAAAAGGCAAGCAGAGAGGTTTCTTGCTTTATCCAGTGGGTTAGTTACCACAGAAGGTTGCGCAGTAACCAACCAGGAGTTTGGTTGGTTAACCAAACCAGCAATCAGGACTTCGAGCTCCCAAGTTGATAAAAGACCCTGCAGGCTGCCTCATAGGGACAGTGTCATCTACAGATCAGAGGTGTCTAAACTAGACTTCAGAGCCTCCTCAGGAGCTCAGCTACTGCCCAGTGGGCATTACACATGCTCATTTACAGCAAAAGGTTATGAACTAGCTAGACTAAAGGGGCTGTGCCCCATCGTGGAAATCAGCCTTTTATGATGTGACTGTTGGGTTTTCTCCAGTTCTAGGCAATTGTAATGAAAACTGATGGAACTGACCATTTGTTTTTTCCTGGAGAAATTTCTTGGCCTTTACTGCTGCTAATGCAGACAATACTGGCATGAGGAGCTCTGTGGGTAAACCAGCCAGCACTAAGGCTGGAAAAAGATTTCTAGGACAGAGATTGTGCAGAGAGAAGGGACGGGGCACGGCAGGCAGGCAAGGGGTGGCTGCCTGTGCTGGTAAGTGGTAACACAGACACTGCCTTCAAATCCAGGAGAGCAGCAGAAAAAATAACTCGGGAAAACCATGAGATTCCAGGGTAAATCTACAGAAAGATATAATCTTGTAAATAGAAGAGATGATCCCCAGTTTGCAACTGAAACGAAAGCAGTGGGGGTATTCACTCACCCTGCAAACCCCAGGTGCAAGCCCACCACTGCCTGATCCCTGGGAGTCCAGGCTTCCAAGTAAGATGCTGTTTAGCATCCATTCTCTGTTTTTCATTCCCTTAAACACTAAAAAGTCTCTTCCAATTCCAAGGCAAAAAAACCCACCCCAGGTGGCAGGAAATCAGCCGTATCGGAAAGCCTCCAAAGGGAAAATAAAAGATTCAAGTCATCAGCTGTCAGCAGTTAGAACAGAACATGGGACTGTCACAAACATCTTTATTGATACATGTTTTCCTTCACTCCATGTGAATGGCAGATTGTTCACAGCCTCCCAGAGGTCTTACTAGACAAAAGACATTTGGGTTATTGTTTCTATCTTGGAGCTGGCAATTAAAATGCTTGCAGGGGGATGCCTTGGGTGGCATGGTTTAGTGGGAGGTGTCCCTGCCCATGGCAGTGGGTTGGAACTGGATGATCTTAAGGTCCTTTCCAACCCTAACCATTCTATCATTCTATGAACGTATGACCAAGACAGGACAGCACAGCAGCAAGTAGTCTCAAACCTGCTCAGGCTTTGGAAAATCATGGCAGTTTTTCCCTTCTGCAGACATTTGCCTGTGCCATCATCCACTTAGGAATTCCACTGTCAAAATTATATACATATAAACCCCCCCCCCCAACCATTTCCCATTTAAAATTTAACTCAGCTGTAGACAATATTTTGCGAATAAAACATCCATAAAAACATACAATTCAGCTTGGGAAGAAAGGAAAGGGTGGGAATAATCACATGCCTGTTTCTAATATTTTGGAGCATGGAAAGAGAGGGTGTTTAGCCAGGTCTCTTGTCTTTATAGAGAACACAATCACAAGACAAAATTTCCTGCTCATGGAAGCTGCAGTATGTCATGGAATTCTCTTTTCAGACAGGGAACTTAAAGATTTCCCTAGGCTCTGGACTAAATTGGCAGTACCTAGAACTGAAACATTAGGGAAAAACAGCATCAGAACACATCAGGTTTTACAGAGCTTACCAGCAGAAACGTCACTAGCCAAGACATGGGGGTACTGGAGAGAAAACGAGTTATTTGATTAGTGAGAGAAGCAATTCCTGGCTTATTTACTCATTTTGTCCTGTTCTCTACAGGAAGCGTTCTTAGGCAAGGGTTTCAGGGTAAGGTTCAAGGGCAGCAACTACTTATGAATGGAAATACGCAGAGATACCTTTTCCACCAGTTCCTGCATCCTTTATGATTTGCTATTTTCAACTGAAAAAAACCCTAGAAATGGCTGGATCCTCTCAGTTTTGCCTCATAAATTGTACTGCAGCACAAAAGGGTTCTGTATTTGCCAAGAAAAAGAGCCCCAAAGCTCCAAGACAACTCTCTGTCCTTTTATTGCGAGGTGTCTGTTGCACAATGCCACGAAGCCTCTTATTCCCTCAGCTGCGCTGGGTGACTTACTTACTTGGTAAACTTCCATCCAAAACAGCCTCAGAAGACCATGTCTAGATTTAGTCCCCCTGTGCATTTTCTGGCAGAGATGTGGATTGCTATTGCAGCATTACCACAGACAAAACCAATCTGCTTGCTGTTATATTATCTTCCAGGCAATCACTGTGAATTCATTCTCTCATTGTATTCCCTATACAATAGCAAGAGTATTTTAGTTAGGCAACTAAACAAAGGCTGTGGTCACCATCAGGTTTTTCAAGTGGCTTGGTCTTTACTGCCTGGATCTCCAAGAACAGCCCCTATCATGCGTACGGGCAGACCAAGCAGCAAAGAGACACGGGCTTCCAGAAGTGGGGAGCAGTGGCATAACCAAAGCTTTGGGAAGATTCACAGTTGTAGATGAGGAAACTTCTTACAGGAACCTAAAGGCAAACAGAAGGGTGGGGTGTGCATGGAGAGGCAAGCAAGAGGCCTCAACAGTGAGAAACTTAAAATGAAATGAAATGAAATAAAATAAAATAAATAAAATGTATTTGATGTATTTTTTCACTTTGTGACCTCCTGTAGTTTTGTGCTGTCTGTGCTGGGGAGGAAGGTGAGGACCAAACACGCCTGCAGTGTTTGCCACTTGAGAAGGAGCTGTTGGAATCACATGAAAACAATGATCCCCATCCTATGCAGTTCCCCAATGTTCCCGTTTGTAGGCTGGCTCAGTTTTTGTCAGGAAATACCATTTGTGTCACTACCATCTCTGAAAAGAGTGACACTGAAATAAAACCCAGATGCACGCATTAAGTGACCCGTAGGGCCTCAGCCTTCTGGATGAATTCATGTTTCAGGTCTTAAGCCTTCCCCAGCTTCCATACACAAAGATACAAGAAAGGTCTGGTAGGGGGAGAAACACTCTGCAGTTTCTGTGTTAGAATTACAATGCTCTTTCTAGTTACATGTAGAACTGGGGGTCAGAGAAGAGGTTAAAACAAAAGGCGCATGAAAAATGGTAAGATAGGTTAATTCATTTCAGTATCTTCATCAACACAGGTGCCAGATGCTCCTTCAGCTGCGGATGAATTTGAATGCTGCTCAGTTCTTGGATACTGAAGATCATCTCATGGGCTTGAAGGAAAAGCTCTTTCCCCACAGCATCCTCCACCCGCCTGCGCCACTCCATCAGCCGAGGTCTGTCTTCAAAGACATCACAACCAGCTCCCACAGGCTGCAGAAATGGGGAGAGAGCAGCAGTGAAGTGCTGGGCTGTCACTTCACCGAGACCACAGGCATCAAAAGTGTGCCTGCAGGTACAGATAGGAGAAAAAAATCCAGAGGAGCCTGTAGCAGAGCACTAGGAAAGGGGGAATTCTTTGGTTGGGTGTATCTATGTGGAGGACAGAGGAGCTAGCCTCTGTTTTAAAGGGCATTTACATGTAAACTCCTGAGTCCCAGAACAGCTATTACGAGCAGCAGAGATGCCTACCACTTGTGAGTGATTTTTACCTACAGCAGTGGTGGGCTGACAGTCCCAGGGCCAGCTGCACAGTTCGCCTTAGGGAGTGCTGTGTTATAGAGCAAGACCCCAGCACAAAACACTAAGTGTTTAACTGAACTTATGTCTTAGCTGACATCATCAACCTCACTTGTACTTTCTGCCTGTGCCACCCTCTGAAACACAAAGCTGCAGAGAAGCAGAACTGTCTTTGGGACTTTGTTCAGTCTTTGGAACAGAGAAGGAATCAGATCCTGCTGCTCTGGAAGAGAACAGCCAGTTTATAACAGATTTGGTTGCCTGTGTCTGAGAATCAGTTTTGCATCTTCCAAACTTCACATGGGCAAGTACCAGCTGAAGTAGAATATGGCTGTATCATTTTCTTATTTCATCAGACCTGTTTGCTCTTGTTTCTCACCTCCTTCTCTGGAGGGTGAAAAGAACATGAGGATAAAGGATGAAGAAGTATTGTTAGGGGAGAGAAACAGAAGGGATCTGTTGCAACCAGCTTTTTTTTCTCGCTCTCTCTTATTTTAAACTAATTTTCCGAACCCACTCCCATATTCTCCTCATTGTCTTAACTGTGTTGAGATATGCCATCACTCCTCTCTCCACATGCTGCATCCCTCCCTGCCTGGCAGCATCTGTTTTCCTGTTGCACTGGGCCTTCCTTACCACACTCCAGCACTCACCTGCATCAGCTCCACCACGGCCACAAGATCAGCCAGAGAGATCTCACTCCCAATGATAAATGCCTTGTCCTGCAGAAACCTCTCCTCAAATTGCTTCAGGGAAGCTGAAAGCCCCTCCATAACCTCCTGGAGTTTCTCAGAGGGCAGTGGCTGCCCTGTGAAGAGGGGAATCAGCACCTGAGGAGGAAAGGGATTGAAGAGTACAGCCAGCCATTTTCTGATGGATCTGGTGGTGGTCACTTAAGTTACATCCCATGAACTCACCATGGTCAGTGATCTGCAGGATGGGATGATGCTAGAGCTTCATGGACTGCTGCACGTGTGAGTAGCTCATGGACAGAAAGCACACAAGCAGTCCTGAGCAGCTGATCTGCTGTGACAGTAACTTCAGCTAACAGGCAGCAATATGCAGAACAAAACCAGTTTTGTTCCTGGCAGTTGTGCCCTCCCACCCATCCGGATGGGTGACAGAAGAGCAACAGCTCCAGGGAAGACACATCTCTGCCATAGCCAGCTCTGCTGTGTCCTGTGATTCAGCAGGCTGCCTGCACCCCAGCCCACCCTGTATCCACCCTGTTGTGTGGCCGGGTGCTGGAGGCAGGGTGATGGGAAGGAGGGCACAGTGGTGGCTGTGGTGGGGAGTGTAGGAGGCACTGGAGTGCATCAGCACTGGCCGGCGATGCAGGAAATAGCTTCCCCTACATGACAGCAGCCAGCAAGGCTGGGAATGGGTGAGCACCATTTTTACACCAGCCCTTCTGTGGCCTCCCAGGCATCATTCTTTAAACTATTCCAAGCTTTTCCAGAGCAGTTATGGAAAGGGTGGTCATTGTCTCCACAGGCTTGCTAACACTGAGATTTTCCACCCTTCGCAGATGTGCACACACCGTTGGAGCCTGCAGTGTTTAACAGCAGTGTGCCTCCACCTACCACATCTAAAGAAACAGCTTATTTAGAGAAGAAGAATGAGTACAGATTTCCACCGGTGGGAGTGGACTCTATTTCTACTTACTGCTGGTATGTTCAACAATTCAAGTTGGGATTGCTTAATCCAAGCCAGGATTTTGGCCAAATACATGTGGAATCTATTTCACCAGAAAATTCATGGCCAGCTCTCTTCCTGAGTGATTCCAATTAGGCGTGATGGGATCTCCAGATTGAAACAGCATCTTCTTCCTTTTCTGTATCTCAGAGCAGTGCATCTTCTCCCATGTCTACCTAATATGCCTTCTGTTACATGGTGGCCTTATATGTTTCATCATTCTGAGGATCTTTGCTGTATCTGGGTTATCTAATCAGCAACAGCAACTCGTTGGATTTCCTTCTGTTTCCCAATAACAGCCTGCAAAGACTGGAAGAAACTGCTTCTTGTATGAATCTGACTCATATTTGAATTGCTTCTCTGTGCTCTCTAGCCAAAAATTCAAGTGTCAATAAATGAAGAGGCTAGCCCTGCTACGCTTTGTTAGGCACAAACAAGGGCAAACTTTACACAGGAAGAGTGAAGTTCTTACCTGTTTATTGCCAACCCTGGTTTCACCTGAAATTCCATACCACGGCTGCACTGGAAGGGCTATATTTGCACCCGGGTCTCTCCAAGGATATTTGCATTAACTGTCTGGTGAGGTGGCTGGAAATAAATGCCCAGCAACATCATCTGACACTGAGTGGTTTTCTGCCTCAGGCTGATTCTTCTGACTTTGCCTAAGTGTAGAATCATCTGGCCACACTGAATAAAGAGGTGTTGCCGTGCTCTCTGTGTCTCTGTTCTCTTTCTATCTCAGAGCAAGAAGAAGAAGGCTCCTTCTGGATTTCCACCCAGATGGGGCTGCAGGGACTTGTATGAAGAACGCAACCCTGGCTGCTTCCAGCAGCTGAGCACATGCTCACCAAAGAAGCAAAACTTCTGCCTATGTGCACGCTCTGCACAGCTGTGCAGGGAGGGGAGGCCCTTGGAGGCAATATCCAATCTGTTACATATTTGTTCTCAAATCCAGGCAATGGAAGTCTGTTGGGCTTTGAGACCTTCTGTACCAGACCTGTCACAGAATGGCTGAAGCTGCTTTTGCCAGATCCTGATGTTGAGCAATTGGGCAGGGCTCCCTGTCTGACAGCCCCTCTCAGCTAGGAATGGCCTAGGTTTGCTATTTCAGCATGATGAACTCTCTCCCAATTGGGACTGTCCTAATGCTCAGTATTCTGCCAGGAAAGCATGGCTTTACTCACATTTTAACATCCCGTCTCTTTACCTTGATCCACATGGTCTTAGGAGCGTTAGCCCGGATGTTAGCGTGATGCCACGAGAGGTATTCATCTACCTGGGCCCGTTTCTGTATGTCTGATGGGTACCAGTGGTCAGGTGTGTTGTACTTCCGACTCAGATACAACAGAATGGCGGTGCTGCTCAGACAGTAACAAGAGACAAGAAAGGGGCAGGGAGTTACAGTTCAGAATGCTGTCACGTAAGCTCTCTCTCCTGCCCCTTCTGAACTTGCTTCTTCCACTAAAAAGCATTCAGATCAGGATTTCTGATGGGGTCTAGGCACCGCAGGTAAGCATCTAATCCACATGGTCACCAGGCAGCACTTAGTTCCCATGAATGCCCTCAATCACCTTAACTCATCACCTTAGTTCCCATGAAAACTTTAACTTGCTGGAAAATCACAGCCCTGTTCCATGGTGCAGAGTACTGCCAGATAGTACTGGGGTGAGCAAACAATAAACCTCGATAATCATCCATCCCCACTGCTGATCCCACTTGTTCCCCCTGACTGTTCTGACCCATCTCTCTGAGACCTGTGCATGTTTATATGCCTGTGTATGAAATGAAACTCTCTAATGGGTTATGATGCCTTTTCATCAGATCTGTCTCTAGCCTGCAGCTTCCAGTGAAATCAATGGAAGTCCCAGCAAGGAAAGCCTACAGAACCTTTGCTTGTGTATCCAGATGTTTGTACTTCCCTTAACTGGCAGGAGAAATCACATGGAAAAACACTCTCGTCGCCTGCAGCAACCTGTAGGCTGTTACTACAAGAGAGATGCCACAGAAAATCTTGTGCTGACAAAATGGAAGGAGATGCAGATCCTGCTGCTATGCTGATACCGCTGCAGTTCCATTATTCCAGTATTATGATACCATTAGGCAGCCTCCATATGAACCTTACAATGTAAAGCCTAGTTTTTGTCTCTGTAGGTGTTTACTTGGCCATTGTGACTAATTCAGATATTTTTTCCCAGGGTAAAAGGCATTTTTATAAACTGTAAACATTTCCCAGGAATGTTTGTAATCCCATTTTGAGGGAAGTGCATTCAGGGTAAGACCAAGAAGTGATTTGTTTGCAGCTGGTTTGTTTGCATTCTGAAACGTAACTCAAATGGAAAAAGGAAACAGAGCAAATGAGGTTATCCTATTGAAAAGAACCAACATGTTCATCAGTTCTGTGATCCTTAATCATTCAGCAGGAATGATGTCTCCTAAATGCTGCACAGGTTACTGGTAACCAAAGAGGTCTAAGGACTGAGTTCTTACCATTCTGCTAGGGTAAAGTCTCCATCCTTTAGTGCTGGTACCTTCTTCAAGAGGCTGACTTTGCCAGCTCCTTCACTATTTGATGGCCCTACAAGCACAAAGTCAGAGGTTAGAAGTGCGTCTGCTAGTAAATGATAAAGGAAATGCCTGTAGCCCACTCTCAGCCAGTGAACTGTGTTAAGTTTCCCAATATGAAAAACTTAAGTTTTCTGATATGGTCAAATTTCACAATTAGAAGGTAATGCAATTGGGCAGTCAGTGTAAAAGCTATCTGCAGAGGGCGGTTGGCTCAGGCCAGGTACATGGCATGGAGTAGTTCACATTCCCATACAGGAATTCTGTTGCTTGACTCAGTCATACTTACAAAGCTTCCTGAAAAATATCACTCCCCGAGAAGCATTAAGATACCAGAATGAAGGTACTGATGTGGAAAACACTATTGCAGATAACTGGGAACAGCTGACTTGAGCAGTACCCTACAGCTTTAGAGACAGGGAGGAGAAAGACAGAAGTTAGGATGAAGACCACTGAGCACCTACAAAACACGTAGTTTTTGCCAAGGAAGCCGGGTCTGGAAAAGCTGGGTTTGCATGCAGAGCATCCTAACAAGGGCAGACGGTTGCTGCTCCTGCTCCTGTTCCCACAGGCACCACCAAAACAAAGTAATTTTCCTGTAGTTTGTGATTGACTCCAGCTGGGATGGAGTTGGGATGGAGAGTGACTGAAAAGCCCTTGTGCCCAGAGATCACTGCAGTGGCTCATTAATCAGACAGCTCAGCACACGAGCAAAATCTTCCTGTTTGTTTGCCTCTAAAGAGCAGAGGGAATTGATCATCAGCAAAGAAGGTAAATGCTGTCAGCAGAGCTGATCCCTCAGCAGACACAGTTGAGGATATTCCCAGAGTTTTTTGCTGGGATGGGGAAAACCATGAATACAACTCGTGAAATGACTCACTGCCACAGTGGACACCGGCTAGGGGCAGGGAAGCTCAGACACCTCTGCCCTGCATTATTCCTGGCTCTGTGTTACTCCTCACTCTGCAGGTCAACCTGCCTCCATCAGGAAAACACAGGAGGAAGACACTATCCAGTCCCTTGGAGGCATTAACAGCTGACTGCCTCATCAGGTTTTGTTTCCTGCTGCAGACACTGGACTTGGCAGTCAGCTGTTAAATGCCAGGGAACACCTAAGAAAAGGTGTGAGGAGTTTGGTTGTTTTGCTTGTTTGAAGTGCTCCCTAGAAGGAGACATGACAGCTACAGTGCAAATCCTGATGGAATCAACCTGGGCAGCAGGATGGCTTCTACAAAAATCTCTCTGTTCAAAATGAAACTGAGGGCCATCAACTGACAGCAGTGATCTGCAGCCCCAAGAACTCTCTGCCCCCATTCAGGAGGCAGCATCAGCATCTGCTTTACTGGACAAACATGCAGCAGGGAACAGTCTCCGTAAAACAAAACCAGCCTTTGGACTATCAAGTTTATTTGCAGCCATCTTTGGGAAGGGGTGGGAGAAAGGAAGGTTGCTGCATTACAGATTACAGACTACTTTCCCAGCATTGATTTCACCTAATGAGACAACTCAAGCCCAGACAACATTTCCACCCTGTTCTCCTTTCTAGCTGACTACCCTCTACTTGTTTCTTCTTTGAGAAATGCTTTTTGTAATTCCAGTGTAAGCAGCTTCATTGGAGACCCAGGTTCACATCCCTCTGCTGCCTGAAGGGATTCAAACCCGTGTCCTCCATCTCACTGGGAAATGTCTCTGGCTAGCTGTGCTGATGGTGGCCTCTATCCAGCTTAGCTGGGTAGGAGGTTCCATGTGCACAGCGGAACAAGCAGAGCTGACAGGAGAGGTGGGAAGAAATGGTTTCTTTAGAATAGGAGCCAGACAGAAAGTTCAAGTTAAGTCTAATAATTGAGAAACTCAAATACTAAAAATAGATAAATAAAACAACCCCCCCGAATCAAGCCAGTAGGCAAAGAAGGACAAGGTGCCTTGCACCCATGGTTTATATGATAAAAACAGTGAGGCAGGTTCATGTAATTCTACTATCAGGCAAGGAGCTGCTCTGGGAGGCTGCTTGGCCCTGTGCTCGGTCCTCTGCTTTTAGCAAGCCAGCGGTCATCACACACCCAGCTCTGCTGAGGTCTGCAAGTTCAAGTGGTCCTTGGAAACCCACAGCAGAACATGGCAGGTCACCGATGCCCACAGCTAATGAGCTCTCAGACCCTGCTGGCTGGTTGTTCTGTGTTTATTACCCAAGGTAGCCAAGAGACAAGGATGAGATGTAAGCAGTGGGTGAAGGCAGCCTGAGTCAGATTTCAGCCTGGTTTTGTCGTGCAGTCCTAGCAGGAATACTGAACATATCAGTCCCCTGATGGGCCTCATGTCGCTACAGCGGGTTGGGCAGTAGGTCAGTGTCTGTTAGACTGCACTGCAGCCCAGCAATGGCACCTTGTTTGCTTTGTCTCATACAGGGTCTTTGTGTAGAGACATAAAAGACCTGTGCGTGACTGAGCTGCAAACTGATAAAAGCCTTGGTTTGAACAATAACTCCAGGTTGCTTCATTTGACCGACTGGGACCAATTTTTATTTGCTATTTAGCAGAGTTTAAGCTTTTACCTCTCTTCCAGCATCCAGAGCCAGCCCTTTTGTTTAGTTGTATGAAATGACTGACCTTTGTTTGTCATTCCTGTGATGTTGACCGCACTTAGGATGCTCTTTAACATCACTTGGATCTGGTGTAATTTCCTGATGTCCCCCAGGGAGATACATATATATATATGTATATATATATATATATATATATATACACTGTGTGTATTGCTGGGCTTTGAGGAGCAACTTTAATAAGCATACACTGTCAGAAAGCAGGGCAGGCTGCACACAAGAGGAATTCTTAAGTGTAAGTCATAGTGCAGGGAAGGAGACGGGCGAAAAGAGCAGTGGACAAGGTTTTACAAGAAGTAGAAAGGGAAAAAAGGAACAACCAAACCAAACTATGTGCCAGTCATGTCCTTGGCTAATCATCTCCTCAGCCAAGGTTTCCCAAGTACTATGCTTTGCCTTGGGCAAAAGAGTAGGGATTGACAAGGAAAGTGCATTGGGTAAGTGTGCAATAGTCACACAGTTGGACAAGTCCGAACAGCTGAGTGTTCCTCTCGAGGACACCATTCCCAGAGCGCTCCTCCTTGGCTGCCACTGTGACTAATTTGCTAGAAATGGCTGGAGGAACATTCCTTGGGGATCCACAAAAATAGATGCAGCACAGCCGTGAGGCTGCTCTGGGAATGAGCTGCGTGCTCAGACCCTTCAATTCAAACTAACCTGAGGAGCCGGACCGTGCCTCCCTCCCAGCCGGCCTAGCAGAGCTCCCAGCTCTGACTGAGTCTGGGCAGGCTTGGCCTGTTTCACCCTGCCCAGGCAAGATGGGTCCCTGTCTTGAGAGGCCACCAGGCTGATACCGCACGTTATCTGAGCTTATCCCCTGCGCTCTGCACATCTGCATCCCTCTCGCTCGTGGCTGTTCTCCGGCTTCCACGAGCTCCAGCATTTTGCTGCCTCCCAGGGCTCCAGCGCTCCCTCCTTCGGCTCAGACCGAGCCTCCCAAACAAGGCTGACATCTCCTCAGCAGGGACAGGGCCCCCGCATCGCTGCTTATGGGGACCGGACCGAACCGAGCTTCCCCATGGAGCGGTCCCAGGCTCGACAGCTCCTGAGCTCCCTGAGGAGCCGCAGCAGGGGCCGAGATGCTTTTCGGGAGCTTCTGCTCCTCACCCGGAGGGGTGACGGGGCCGTGGGAGCAAAACAGAGCCCCCCCCTCCCGGCGGTCTTCGCGGTCCGGGACCGCAGCGATGGGCGCTTCTGAGCAAGGGGTCGGGAGCCCAGAGCCCCGGGGCTCACCCAGACCGTGCCCGGCCATCGCGGTACGGCGGCGGGTACCGGCTGTCCCCGCAGGCCGGGAACAGGACGGACACCCAGGGGGAGCCCGATTCTTCCCTCCCTCCACCCCCCTCCGCTCACCTGCATGGGGCTGCTCCGCGCCGCTCCCCGCCGCCGGCTTCTTCCCCAGCACCGAGTCTGCCAAGAGCCAAGAGAGGGGCCCTGAGCTGCGGCCCCCGGCGCGCTGCAGCCCGCCCCGGCCCCGTGCGCGGCCCACCTTTGAAGAGCTCCACCTGCTTGAACTCGAAGGGGATGTTGTTGCTGCGGGCGAAGATGTAGATGGAGCGGCAGGGCTGCGAGAGCAGGTCCAGGTACAGCTCCAGCCCCATCCTGCCGCCCGGCCCTGCCCGGCCCGCGGGGAGGCGGCAGCGGCTCTGTCACCGCCGCCCGGGGCCGCCCCGCATGGGCAGGCGGGGGGAGGCGCCCTCGGGGGCTGCGCCCGGGGGGCCGCGGGTGCGAGGCTGGAGGAGCCCAGGAGAGCGCTCCCGGCTCGGGCAGCATCAGCGAGGCACGGCAGGAGCGGGGGACACACACAGGGCTCCCTGTGCCGCAGCATTGGGCAGCCCTGGCCACCCTAGGGCTTGGCTGTGAGCTTCAGAAGGTAACAGGAGTAATGGAAACTTACAAGTGGTGGTAGGTTAGCAGCCTCAAAGGAGAGGCTGGTGCTAAGCACTGAGGGAGAGGGGCTGTCCTTCCCCGCCCCAGCCTTAGCTGATGCCACAGGGGTCAGGAGCCCGTTCTCACCCACAGCATCCCACCACGGCTCTCGCAGGGTAAATGCTTGTTTTCTAACGCGGTCCTGCGGGGATGTGTCACACTGCAAACAGGGCCCTTGCGCAACACCCTCTAAGCCAGCATTCATCTCGCTCCCTAGATCTCAACATGGTTTTCAGCCCAGAAGATAATTCCTTGGTCACGTAGTCTCTGCCCAGTGCTGCAGAGTGACGCCTGAAGGACGCCTGTGGGCATCACCCTGCGCACTGGCAGTGAGGTGACTTTCCTCTCTGCCAGGTATTTACCGTTTCAGATCTCCACACAAACGGGTGAGAACTAAAGCAGCGCAGCCTGAATTCAACCCCCTCCACAGAGCCCACGGCGCTTCAGAGCTGGGTGACGTGCGGAAGGTGACAGTGGTTGAGCACAGGGACATCAGGGGCTCTGAAGATAGCGCAGCTGAACCACTCAGAGCAAAGTCACCCCCAGCCAAACCCGCCTCGGCTCAGCTGACACCTCGTTATCAGCGCTGTGCCTGAGAGCTGCTGCGGCGGGCACAAAGCCTTGGAAAGAGCCCCAGGAACCTCCGGGAGAGGGAACTGGGGGATCAGGGGCTCTTTTAGAGGATCATTAGGAGGGGTGGTGAAAAGGCTTGATACTGAGCCCCGAGCTTGTGACTGATACAGTACAAACACTTCCAGGTGCTTCCTTTTATGCCACTTGGCCAAGACTGCAGCTCTGAGATCTCCTCAGGAATGGGGATTACTGTGTTAGTGTTCAGTCAGCCAGAGCCTGGTGAACAAGCTGTGTCTCGACACGGAGCGTTGGACCCCCTGCACCACACACCCGTTTTCAGGGTCACTGCTCAGATTCAGAACTGTGTGATAAGAGTTCCTCGGCCACAACATGAGCGGGGCTGTGGACCCCTCAGTTCCCTCTGCGGTTCACGCTCTAGAGCTCCCACACAAGGACCAGCACACTGGAGGTGAAGGTTTGCACTGTGGCATGTGCTCCTTCAGTGCAAAGAGATCTCAGATGATAAGGGAATGGAGAAAAGGAGCGGGAATGTGGCTCTGCACACGTAACAGCCTGAGAAGCCTCTGTGCTTCAGAATGGCCACGAGTCCCTATTCATCACTGGGAAGAGTTTGGTGAGCGCAGGTGATAGCAAGATTGGCAGCTGTGGGTTCGCTTTGCTGCTGTATTTGTGGGTCAGTTGATCCACCAGTCCTGTCTGCACTTAAAGATCTCCTCATGTCCCTCTTGGAAATGTTCCTTCCTCAGGTTTTCCTCCAGGTTGCTGGCTGCACTGCAGAGCCCACACAACCAAAGAGGTGTTTTCATCTGGTCACGTTACACAGCATTTGACTGCATTATTCCTGGCTCTAGGCTAGTGCTTCTAGCCCTCTATTTTCACCTGGTTCCATCATCACAAAGGTTGTTTCTCCAGCCTTTGCTTTCTTTATCAGCTTTTTGGAAACAGGAACAACACAGGAAACAATACAGTAAGTTTTGCAGTTTATTTTAATCATTTAGAAAAGGTTATAGACTTCATATCTGTTTTTTTTTAAACATTCCTCCCATTTTGTGTATCCCAGCTTCATTTTAGTCTAGAAAGCACAGACTCTCACCTATTTCCAAAGAGCTCCTGGCCAGAACTGAAGCAATTGAATCAGAACAGCACACTAAGCAGGTGACTCTCCATACTCAAGTGAAAGGGAGTGGACACCAAACAAACATTGCACTGAGGCAAGGCAAAACTCTTACACAGCTCACTGGGTTTTGGCAGGGAGCTCTTTAGGAACTGGAAACAGCCAAGATCAAATGGCACAAATGAATACAATGAAGGAGGTGGAGGGTTGGAAAAAGGCAAAGGACAAGGATAAGATGCTTTAGTTTCATGATTTAGAGTGAAAAAGGCAGCAAGGCAGACCTGTGAACAATTCTATTGTCACCCACGGAGTTAATCTGGGGATGCTTTGTCCTGCGTGCACAGCAGGGCCCAAAATGGGACCAGTCACCGCACACAGCTTCATCAGGAGGGTGAACCTACAGCTCAGGTGGGCCTGGAGCAGACAGGGAACACTACAGGAAAAGCAGTTTAAAGTCTCCTCCTGTCACCATGACCACGCTGGAACGAGGTGTGTTTATCCTCTGGGACACTGGCAGCAGAGAAGCACCGGACAATGAGTTCAGAATGTGGTTCCAGCTTGGTGTTCATGGCAGCTGTCCTTGCAAGAGCTGACAGTGGGTGATGTTTAAAGAGCTTGTGCCTTATTAATCAAGCAGAAAATTGGCTCAACCTTCTCTTACGTGGAGCTCTTGTACTACAAGGATCATAGAGGAGTAAAAAGGCATTTTATGTGCTTTGGCTAATGCAGTGCTTCTGCACGCACAGCAGCTCTATCAAGATTCTGGAGGGAGATGTGTATCGAGAAAGGCTCTGCTACCAAGCCCAGTTTGAGGTTTGCCAGGATGGGCACTCAGTGAATTAGGCTCAGATTATTTCTCTGCCTCTACTCGCACAGCTGTATGAGGCATTCATTCCGCTGGCAGGAAGCTTGCTCTCAACAAGAATGGGAAAAGCTGGAGGTCAGGAATCTGGTTCGGCAAAGCACAAACGTGCCAAGAGCAGAGTGCAGCAGGCTCAGCAGCTTGGCTGGGGCAGAGAGGAAGGACCGCTGTTATTCCAGTGGTGCAGCAGCCCAGCTGGTGGCTGCGGTAAGCTGCAGTTAGAGGAAGTGGTGGCTGAAAGTACAACGTAAACAGGCACCATGAGCCCCAGCTTGTAAGGCCTGCCTACAGCTGCTGAAGCAGCCACACAGGCTTGCATTAAGACGACTGACACCTCACACCCAGCATACTATGCAGCCACCTCTGTGGATGGTGTAACCTGCCAGCAGAGACAAAGGGACTTCCAGGTAAAACCAGCGCTTAACAAGTATGAAAACCAACGCCAGCTCTGCAAGCTGGAACCCTCATGGCTCGTACCTGGAAATGGGAGGTCACAGGGACAGGAGGACAGGAAGGCAGAAGGGTACAAAGGGACACACAAGGGTGAGAGGCTGCCCAGGTGTGGAGGATGATTCAGTGGACGCTTCCTTCCCAATCCTGATCACAAATCCAGCTACAACATGTGGGGAGTGTGACCATCAACTTCACTGAGAATCTGACTTGACAGGAGAGTAACTCAGCTCCTGTACTGGGCAGCCCAGCACAGCTCCCTCTGCCACCAGTGCTGGTGCAGCCTCGGCACCACTTATCAGTGGAGAGAGCCTGGCTTAGATGGCATCTATTGGGGTGACAAAGCCGCTGTGGGGAAAGGACAAAGCACTTGGTATGGTCTGCAGAGGGGGACTGTGCTCGGCAGCAGCTTCTCTCAGCTATGCAGGCTGTTCTTTGTAAGGTACTGCAGGAGTCTGTGGTTGAGCATCTCTACAGGACTAACCCCATCACTCCCAGAAGGTGGCCTCACTGTGGGTACCTGCACAGCCAAGGTGCTGAGTCCCTTTGCTCCCATGGGTGACACAGCAGTCTCTGGTGGCTCCAGGACCTCTGGCAGAGGTCCTGACCTGCCTCTTTAAAAGAGCAAACATCTTGCAGCTGAGTGTGTGGCAAAGTGAAAGCCATTTTCTACAGTTATTTTTCTTGTTTCAGACAGATCTGTTCTGCCATAGCCTCAGGAAACCTGTGCCTTTTCTCAAAGCAGGGATGGAAAGGGCAGTTCTGACTGGCCCCAGTTCCCAGCAGACTGAATCACCTCTGTCCTCAAGCAGACCCAGTGGTGCTGGAGCCTGAAAGAAAAGCCTGCATTTGTCAAGAGTAGAAAGCTTACTGCAGCCTGAGCTGTTCCAAGCGGCAGGAAGGCTGTGACTGAAATGCATTGTGTGGAATGGTGTTTCTGTATGATTGTTTAGAAATGCTGAAATAGTACAATAAATCTGCACTGAGCAATCTGTTTTACTGAGAGCATAACCCCCTGCTTCAGGCTGCCTGCTTTAGGAGCTGCTGCTTGAAATTCTCCATCAGTTCAGGTGCAATCTTATCAGCGGTCAAGTTCTTGACGTTCAGGATCCCTTCGTGTGCTTCCTGGAAGAGCTGCTTGCCCACCGCCTCCTCCACCCGCCTGCGCCACGCTGCCAGCCTCGGCCTCTCCTCAAAGAGGTCGTAGCCAGAACACACAGGCTGCAGAGAGACAGCAAGAGAACCCGGGAGTGAGTCACACAGCCACTGACAGGGATGGGACCGGAATGAAGCAAGATGCTTGCGGATCAAGGCAGCAGCGGGTGGAGCTCAGCTCTGGCTCTTAGCTCATGGGAAGCAGGAGGTGTCATCCCCTGGGACATGCAGTGAAAGAGCTAACCCAGGAACTGGCTAATGCAGAAGAGGTCAACACTTCTCTTTCAAATACCTGTACTTCCCCTGGTTAATTTGTGATTTCTCCTTCTGGGGAATGCTGTCCATACTTCCACAGAGAGCACTGCCCTGTCAAAGCAGATGCTCCCTGGCGAATTATGGTCAAAGTTAAAAAGGAACAAGGTTTAACTCCACTAAAGAGTTAACTGCAGAGAGGAAGATCTGCCCTTAAAGAGGTGGTGGTGCCTGGCCTGCCCACAGCCCCTTGTGCACAACCAGCAGTGCTCACCTGCATGAGCTCCACCAGAGCTACAAGGTCCGCCAGGGAGATCTCATTGCCTGCGATGAAGGGCTTGTCCTGCAAGAACTTGTCCTCAAACTGCTTCAGGACAACGTTCAGCTCCTCAGTGGCACCTTCCAGTTTCTCCGGAGGAAGCGGCTGCCCTGTGAGGAGGGGCAGCAGCACCTGGCAGAGGGGAGAAATGAGCTGCTTCTCACAGGTTCCCCTACAAACATCACCCACACCCTCTCACCGTCACTTCCGAGGATAGCTGGCACCACTGATCTCCTCTGGCAGGTTAACATTAATGTCTGCCATCACTTCCTGCCTGTCCTGGTCCCCTCCCTAGAAAGTCTGGAATCTCAGCCACGAGAGTCTCCTCTCAAGGGAAGGCTGCATCATCTGCAAGCACCGGCCTCGTTTTCCAGTCTGAGCTTTGTTCTTTCCATGGTGCAGTGAGCTGTGCCTGGGGACAGCTGCTCACCCAGCACAGGTTTCCTCTGCCCTTCACAGAGCTGTGGCTGCACCAAGAAGGATTTGAGCCACTTCAGTGAGGCTTGGCCCAGCAGCCAAGTCAATTCAAGACCTGGTTTTGTTCCTGCCACCTGGCTTGTGTATTTGCTGCAAAGGGCCCTGCGCACAGAAGGGCCATTGCACTCACAGCCCCTAGGTTTCGCTATGTAACGTCTTACCTTCATTAAGAACAGCTTGCTCCCCTTGCCACGGATGTTGACGTGCTGCCATGACAGGTACTCATCAACCCTAGCCCTTTTCTGCAGGTCAGACGGGTACCAGTGATCAGGAGTCTTGAACTTCCGGACCATGTACAGGAGGATTGCGATGCTGCCCAGTGACAAGACACAGCCATCAGCTGATAACGCAAGTTTAAAGCGCTTCCTCCTTTCTTCCCCCCCAAGTTGTGTACTGTTGTACCAGCAGCAATGCAAACCTGATCCGGGTCAGGTACAAGTGCAGGACACACAAATGTTAGTGGGGCACAGCACATGAGCTTGTGCTGCCTTGACCAGAGAACGCACAGCGCACTGGCAGAACCTAAGCATTAAGGTAAACAGCAGTGTAGCAGGGGGTTGAGCTGGTTTGAACCTCACCTCTCTGCTAAGGTGAAAGACCCATCCCTCATGGCAGGCACCTTCATCAGCAGGTTCACCTTCTGGAACTCCTCTGTCTTGTGCTCCCCTGAGGAGGGAATGAGATCTTACTCAACAGTGATGCTCGAGACCTGACTGCAAACACCTGAGGAGTCTGTGGGCACCATCGGGCTTCAAGTTCCTGGTTTTGATTGCATAAACACAATCTTGTTTAAGTTTAAAAGCAATCAGAAAGTGCTGCAGGGTGAACAGGGAGTGGGCCCTGTGATGTCAGCTTACGTGCTTATTGCCTGTGCCCCAGAACCACCTCTCAACAAGGGTCAGAATGGTTAAAAATCCTTTCATACCAACAGCACTTGTCAGCTCTGGGCTCTATCAGCTCTGCCTTTGTGCCTGGAGGTACCTGTCCCATGCAAACCCAGTGCAAACACCGAGCACCTTGGAGGAAAGGGAACCTGCCATCAGAAATGTGAACCACAAGGGCAGTGAGAAAGCAGCTGGTTTTGTTGTTTGGGTAGGTTGTTTTTTTTTTTTCCAGTAAATGTGATTTATAAAAGAACATATAAATGTAATTTATATTCAATTCGATTTTTGGTCCTCAGGGTAGAATAAATGTCTATGATTCCATATAAAGCCATGGGCACTTCATTACAGACCTATCAATCAGCTCTGACTTTTGCATATCCTTTATCAGAGCACATATGGATTTGAGTTTGCTTTTAAGCGATCTTGTAGGTGCCTCCCAAAAGGTAGGCAGAGTGAACCTGGCAGGAGGAGGAGCTTTGTTCATCTGCGGTCCCAGTGTGCTCCGTTACATTTAAACCCCTTCCCAGGAGCCTTGTTTTATGCAACTCGTTCATGCCAGCCTTTCCCAGCCGCTGGCTTCGGTCACACGTGTGTTCCTCTGTATTCAAGCTCCTCTAACATCTGGCCCTGTGCCACGTCCTGCTGTGTGAGTCACCTGCGGATCTGTGCCAGGGGAGATGCTCCCGAAGCTGGTTTAGTTTTCCCAGTACTGGGAGATCAGATCGGTGACTATTCCCCTTCGCTTGGCTCACAGTCTGTCTCCACCACTCCCTTTCACAAAGCCACTTCCTCCATGAGGTGTGCCCATTCCAGGTCCTCAGGTGTCCCTCCAGTGTCACAGTTTCTGTCTGTTCTTGCTCTTGCTACCCGTTTCCTTGAGACCTACTGGGGGGGACACGTTTAACCCACTGGCTCAAAGCTGGGTGTATGTGCCCTCACCTGGTCCTTACATACAGTGTAGTGAGGCCACCCTCACTGTACTCCTGAGCCAGCCCTCATTCGGGGCTGGTGTGCCCATAGTTGTGTGCCCAGCAGCTGGTTATGGACCTGCCCCAGCTGTGGGTGCCGGGAGTGCTTCCCCACAGCTGCAGGAATGGGATGTGCCTTTAGCATCCCTGTAATCCAAATTACCCACCTCACATCCACTGACCAAAAGCAAGCACTGATGCCATGAGACACAGAGCATTCAATTCTCCTTCCTCTCAGTCCCAGTCTCAGTATTTCAGTTGTTCCCTTCTCCTTGCTTGCCTGACAGTCTCATCTCCTCTGCACCAGTGTCCCACAAGTTCATGTATTGGGGAAGAAGGGGAAGGACACCAAATGAGCCTGCCCCCAGCTACAAACAGGAACAACGTCCTTTCTGGCAGGATGGGTGGGAGGAAAGCTGCACTTGACGTGCAATCAATGCACAGGGGATCAGGAGGGCAGGGGAACGCCCAGAGACTGAACCACAGCAGGCCTGAGGTTTCTTTGAGTCAAACTGGAGGTTCTTTTGTTCTTTTATCAACTTCTGCCCCAGGAGCCTTCTCATCTTTCGCTGGGTTTAAGCTGTTAAGGTAATACCTTACCGAGGTATTTTTATGCCCAATACATTACCTTCATTTCAAATCCAGGAGCTCTGGAAAGGCTGAGAGATTGCTTTTACTGGCTTCAGTTACAAAGAAGATACTGATCTTGGAGCATCCTTCGGTGAAAATACACGATACCTCTTGGGCAGGCTCCTACCAATGACCCGTTGGTTTTCATACAAACTAAACCACCTTCTCCTCTCCATTGCTCAGTGTTCAGGCTGCAAGGTCTTGCTCTGCTGCCTTCACTGTCTCTGCAAGCCTGCCCTCAACCCTCTCAAAACAAGATGACCACAAACAGCTTGACCCGATGAGCACCCGCAGGGCTGTCAGCCTGTCCTGCCCTACAGCACATGGGGAGCCACCTGCGAGCCCTGAGCACCAGGACCCTTCCCAAGGGGCTGCCAACCCCTGCCAAGAGGACAAAAGCTGCTCAGGAGCAGCCGCTGCTGCTCACCAGAGTGTGAAGTTCTGCGAGGCAGCTGAACCAGCGAGCACTGCCCACCTCGGCTGTGCTCACCCGCACACGGACATCCCATCTCTGCTGCTTCTGCTTTGCTTCCCACCTCAATGGGCAATGGCCTTACAGCCAGACCCCTCCTCACAAAAGCGGTCAGGTTTTTGGGAAAGCCATTTTTCTGATGGGGTGGGGCTGATTTCAAAGATACCCCAACACCACGCACCTCTGCAGGACTGTACTTGTTGCGGAGGCTCCCTCCCATAGCACCAAGGGGCAGGACTGAGCCCTCCGGTCCCATCCGCACCGCAGCTCTGTCCAGGGAACCGGGTCCCGCAACCCCGGGGCTGGGACCACCCAGCCCCGCCACCCGCCCCGGCCACCCCCCAGCCCCGCTCACCCTTCGTCAGCTCCACCTGCTTGAACTCGAAGGGGATGTTGTTGCTGCGGGCGAAGATGTAGAGCGCTCGGCAGGGCTGCGAGAGCAGGTCCAGGTACAGCTCCAGCACCATCCTGAGCCTGATGCTGGTGCCGCTGCTAATGCTAACCGCCCGCCCCGTCCCGTCCCGTCCCTCCAGCCCTGTGCTCCCGGCTGGGGCGGAGCAGTCCGGTCCCTCCCGCAGGGGCGGAGCGCAGCCCCCACCGGGGCTCCCGCCCTCCGCGGTACCGGCTGCGGCCCGGACCCACGGCGGGCCGGGCTGTGCCCGCAGTGCCAAAGGGCAGGGGCGATGGCACTGCCTCAAGGGAAAGCTCCGACCAGGCCCTGCTGAGTCACCCTCGAACAGGGCTTGTTCTAACAAAGTGCCCTGAACCGCTTCGGTAAGGAAGCTGAGCTGGGCTGATGGGCACGAGAGGTGCTGGAACCTCGCTTTGCTCAGGGGAACTCACAGCTCTTGCGTAAGAGGCCCTTATGCTTGTGCTACTCTGACGCTTGCCTGGGACCCCCGTACTGTGCGGAAACCACTCGAGGAAGCAGCCCCCCAGCACAGACACACAACTTCACTGCTGCAAAACAGCCCCGTGCTCACAGAATCACAGGATGGCTTGGGTTGGAAAGGACCTTCAGATCATCAAGTTCCAAGCCCAATGCCATGGCAGGGACACCTCACACTAAACCATCTCACCCAAGGCTTCGTCCAACCTGGCCTTGAACACTGCCAGGGATGGAGCATTCACAACCTCCCTGGGCAACCCATTCCAGTGCCTCACCACCCTAACAGGAAAGAATTTCCTCCTTATATCCAATCTAAACTTCCCCTGTTTAAATTTGAACCCATTGCCCCTTGTCCTGTCACTACAGTCCCTAATGAAGAGCCCCTCCCCAGCATCCCTATAGGCCCCCTTCAGATACTGGAAGGCTGCTACGAGGTCTCCACGCAGCCTTCTCTTCTCCAGGCTGAATAGCCCCAACTTTCTCAGCCTATCTCCATACAGGAGGTGCTCCAGTCCCTGATCATCTTCGTGGCCTCCTCTGGACTTGTTCCAACAGTTCCATGTCCTTTTTATGTTGAGGACACCAGAACTGTACACAGTACTCCAAGTGAGGTCTCACGGGGCAGGATCACCTCCTTCGACCTGCTGGTCACACTCCTTTTGATGCAGCCAAGGATACATTGCTCTTTTAGAGGATACAACCCCCCTTTCTGATACCCATCCCTCGAGATTCCCAGCCTTCCCTTTCAGTTCAATGCCATACACCAGCCAATGCTGGCATACATTCATTTTGTTTCACAAAATAGTAAGTCAGAGCCTCGTTGTTTCCTACTGAAGGCCTTGCAGGGTAGTTGCAGGCTGCAGCTATGTGGTAGCACTAAGCCTTCTGCCAGGAGCAGCTAAAAATACCAGTGGCATGTGTCAAATACAGAGTTAGGACTTGTGGTGATACCAGCTGACTCCAGTATGCATATTCATTTTAGACATCAGACATTTCACTCTGCATTAACACCAATCCAACACTCACTAATACCTGCTTCTACCATTAGTAGTGAATGGTGGAAGAAACAATGCAGGCAAGAGAACTGCAAGAAAGGCACAAAAAACCTTTTCACCACTGCCTCCATCCTTGCACCCAGGAAACATTAGCAGACAGTTTTAAATATACATTGTATTTCTTTAAAACTAATTATTAGTCACTTCAGCCTAGAGCAGCTCTTCAAACACGTTCCTGCTCCAGGCACCATGTAGGTGTTTGTGTGGTGGCAGCTGCTTGTGCAGTAAGCCAGAACCATTTGCTGTCCCAGGTCAGAACCAAAGGCACAGGCCTCACCCTTGGAGGCCAGCAGTTCCATCAGGCCCACATTCAAGGGCTGTGTAATGGCTCCTCTTTACTGGTGGCAGTCTCATACACACTGCAGGATATGATGCAAAGTCCTCTCCAAGATAACTGTATCTCAAATCATTATTATTTTTTTTAAACCAGAAGCTGAACTTTATTCACAGTGACCTTGAAAGGGGAACCAGGCCTGTAACAGACGGCTTCAGCGATGATAAGGTTGAGGAGCCAACCATTCAGAGACAGTGTTTCATTTCTACTGTGCTGAGTAATAGTCCATGACCTGTCCCATGCAGCAGCTTCCATGCCACGAAACAGCCTCCTCAGCATCTACTCACTCAGGCTCGCTTCTGTGCGCGCTCATTCTGTTCAAAATTAAAGTTGAGAAGGTGACTGAAGATGCCCCTGGCTCAGAGCCACGCAGAAGGGACTTTGGGGAGCAACGGGACAATTTAGTAATACTTTTTGCCCTAATTCCCAGTCCTACAACTCAAAATCATCATTTTTCAAGGATAGATGTTTATCAGGAGCCCTCAGATTGGAGCACAGAACACTAGTCCAAATCACACAGCAAAGAAAGTCCATTATGGATCCCCAGTTTGCCCATCTGGCAAGTTAAATGCTACTCTGCTTTTATCTGAGAACTTGTTTATAAACCTTCCCACTTGTGTGTAAAGGAGGGCCTGCACAAAATACTTCCCTGGTTTGGAATACCCAACTTCTAGTCAACATGGATGTAATTTGCAGTCTCAAAACTCTGTATGACAAAAGGCTTAATCTCTACCTTTTGTTTGCCTTCCTCTGGGTAGTTACCAAATCCCAGCTCCAGAGGTAAAGAGAAAGGCAGAACAGAAAAGAAACACCAAGAATCATAGAATCATTTGGGTTGGAAGAGACTTTTCAGATAGAGTTAACCATAGACCTAACATTGCAAAATCTAGCACTAAACCATGTCCCTAAAGTGCCACATTTTAAATACCTCCACGGATGTTGCCTATCTTTCCTTTAACATTTCCTCTTCTCGCTCCCCTCATCCTTTCACAGAGTATCTCTTAATGATGCAGCCACAAATGCTGACTTTGCAATGAAACGGAAATGTCCCAGTTAAAGGAGACTGGACACTGACACTTGCCCTAGTCACGACTTGCAATTTCCTTCCCCGTTTCCATTACCTTGACTGTCTTCTCAAGGCTACACAGAGCTTCCTCATATCGCTGCACCAATGGCTTTAATGAATTGCCCTTCACTGGGTGCTTCTTAATATCTTGGATGCCAGCATCCTTCAACATCCGCAGAAACCTACGTTCCTGCATGACAAAACAGACAACAGGAGATGAGATACCACACTGCCTATCACCTAGAATACAAACACATTTTGCAATATGCTGCCTAGTTAGGAAATAATTGAAGTTTCCATGTACAATGCTCAGCTGACTGGAAAAGGGAGGAGGTAGAATGAATCTTTATCTTCCTTATGCCCCTACACGTGTCCTTATCAAATGAAATCCCACACCACCAACCTACCTGAATTCTAAGGACCAAGCTGAAAGCAACACCCACTTTCCCTGCACGAGCTGTTCTTCCAACTCTGCAAATGATAAAGGTAGTATCAAGTCAGTTTAGCCATACAGTCACTGCCGTTATCAGCTCCAAGAGTCTGATTCTGAGATTCTCCAGAATCACTTACTTAAATCTGATGGGGTTTTGAGGTTAACACAGCAGGAGTAGCCCTATGTTACAAAGGATGATCATTTCCAGTGGTTGTTCACAGCTGCTGAGCCACTGCAGTTTTCTGATCATCTAGAAACCCAATACTCAGTGCTGCCCAGGACAGGATTTCTAGCTCCTGTAAAATACATTTTCTGTAATAGGTTGCTAGTTCTCTGTGCCAATACTGCCTTACTCTGGTGATGCTACAGGCTTAATTTTCATTACAAAGCTATTAGCTTACTAAAGGAAAAATAAAAAATCCAAAGCTAAAACCCCTTTCCAGTGCATGTCACCTTGCCAAATATTTCAAAGTAAACCAAGTTCAGACATCTTCCTTTTGTTCCTGGTTATCTTACCGGTGAATATATGTCCTGATGAACTGCGGCGCATCATAGTTTACGACATAATTCACTGCTTTAACGTCAATCCCTCGCGCAGTGGCATCTGTGCTGATTAACCTGTTTTTAAATGTATGAAAAGTCATTTTCAAGTCACAGCTCTTGCAATGCACACACAAGAGTAACACAGGTGAGCACAGCACAACTCCTGCTAATCTCTGTTCAAAGTGGGCAGCCAGCCCCCGACCTCTGAGCAGAAGATCTGAATGGAAAGTCATTCGTTAGTGTCACTGGCACTATTAGCTGCCTGTAGACATCCAAGCATCACTGCAGGCTTATCACCTACTGTTGTGCATTAGAAGTTACTGGGTGTTTCCAGGTTCTCCAAGCATGTCACACTAAGCCAGGTGGCTCCCACCACATTAGAAGTCACAAACCTGCAAGCTATCTGAACATTCCATAAAGGCACTGAACTCAGACAGCGAGGTGCTAAATTCCCAGCAGTCAAGGAGGAATTTAAACACCAAGTTTTGATAAACAGAAAAATCAAGAAAATAAATATTTACCCTTCTTCTTGGAGACATTCCACAGATTCAATCCCATATAGCTACCGAAATCACAAAGCAAGTCAAAAACATGGAGAGAAGTAAATCTGTACGCCAGTCTTATCAGGCATTTCTTTGGTAGGAAGTACCAACAACATTCATACTCTTGCAACAAGTGCAAGGTGCCAAGCACACAATAACTTGAGATTTTCAGCACTGTGTGTGTTCTGGGCAACTACATGAATAAGCAGTTGCACTTACTGCTTGTTACAAAATAACACAGAGAAATTCAGATTGAGGCCAGATGAGAACAGGCCAAGTTAGGTGCAGGGCAAACAATTCAGAAGTCACAAGTTCAAATCTCACACCCATGCCATAAATTGGTCCCTGCAGGCTTTGAGCACAGAGGACCCCATTTAATTGTGCTCTTGGTTCTACTTAGCTTTCCATACCAGAGGTAGCCTATGTCATAAGATGTGCAAAACCCCCCTAACTTAAGATGCTCACAGTTGTATTTTTCCTTGTTCAAACTCCTTTATGGTTCTCTGTCTCTCATTTGGAGGTAGCAGAGAAGAAAATTCAGCTACAGGGACTCCACCAAAGGCTCGAACCAGCAGGAATAATCTGTAGGTAAATGGGATCAAACAGTCACTTCTTTACCTCTGTAACACTACT